TTTTAAATAAATAAAAATGGCATTTTCGATAATAAAATGAAGTTTATAATGTTAATTGTCTTTTTACTCAAAATCTGAGTTATACTAGTAATACTTTTTGGGGTGGGTTAATCTAGTTATTTTTTCATAGTTTTGAGTTATTTTGGGTAATTGTCACTTAAAATAATGCCTGTGACTTTAAAAATAAATTAAAGTCATAATTTTGGCATTTAAAAAAGTGTCTTGTGAAGTAAAAAGAGAGAAAGTGGTTGTAAGAAAAATTAGGAGAGTTTTTATGATTTTTAATGCTTTAAATATGTTAAATTGTGATTGGTTAAAATATGATTTTTAAAGATTTTTAATATTTTTTAAAGTTTTCAAAACCTTTAAAGTTATTTTGCCAATCCACACCCATTTGTTGTCTTTGTTTTGTTTAAAGTTTTTAAAGCATTTCTTTTATTCTTTTATCTTTTTTTACAATTCTTTTTTAAAAGCCTCATTAGGGTATCTCCAACCCCACTTCATTTACCACTACAAACTCCAAAATGGAGTAAAATCATTTTCAACCCTATTCCATTATCAACTCCAAAATGGTGTTAACCATTTTTTACTCCAAATATTGAGTAATCTCATTTTTCACTTCATTTTGGAGTTGAACTTTTTAAATTATAAAATAGTCCTTCAAATCTTAATTGATTTCGTTTTAAGAGATAAACAATTATATTCTCTTTAATTAAAGAATTACGAATTTATCAAAGCAAAAAAATGTGCAACAAAACAATCATATCATATTATAATGTTGAAATTGTAATGTTTGTTTATATTTTCTTATTAAAATATGTATGTATATCTAATTTAATATATATCATTATGAATATAATTTTAAAAAAATACATATTCTTAAGTTAACATGTATGTATATGTAAGTCAATATAACAAAACGTAATGTTACGAATTTGATTCTTAAAACAAAAGAAATTAATGGAGTAAATTTGTAAATTTTATAGAAAAACTATATTATTAGCAATTAATAATAAAATAGAAAAAATAAATATTTATAAAATATTTTTTTTTAGTGAAAATTTGAGTAATACATTGGAGTAAAATCCAACTCTATTTTGGAGTTACTTCATGGGCATCTCCAACCTATCCCTATTTTTTTCTCTAAAAATAGAGAAAAAAAATAGCAATACTCTATTTTTTCTCCAATCCATCTTTATTTCTAATTGTAAAATAGAGATTATGCTCTATATAAAGAGGAAAAAGTGTTAAAAACTCTAAAATAGAGAAAAAATAGCATTTTCTTTATTATAGATATACATTGGAGCAAAAATACTAGAATGCTATTTTTTACATTATTTTAGAATCAAATATAGAAAAATACATTGGAGATGGTCTTTTATAGACAGGTATGGAAGGTTTTCGTGCTTTGTAGACAGGTATGGAAGGTTTTCGTGCTTTGTAGACAGGTCTTTGCTTTTGCAAGAGGCTCCAACACTAAAAACTTTGCATTTCATACTTGCTCAAAAGCCTAGCGTTGTAGATATTGGAGTATGGACTAGAACTGCAGTTAAACGATGTGTGCGTGGGCTGATTATCGAGATTGTCATTTCTTCACGTAGAACTCCAGTCATACTTCCAAAGAGCTTGTATACAGGGTGTCAAATTCTTGTGAAACTGAGACTAGATAACGCGATCCTTCAGGAATTTTCTTCCCCGGTTTCTTTCCCATCCCTCAAATGTTTGACCCTTTTATCCGTGATATATCCTGGTGATGAATTTGTCGTGAGGTTTTTATCTAACTGTCCTGTACTTGAGGACTTGGATGTGGATCAATGTCAAGGTGACAATGTTACCATTTTCACCGTTATAGTGCCTTCTCTAAAGAGTTTATTCTTGCATACATCAGTAAACAGAGTTGCAAACAATGATCATGGGTTTGTGATAGATGCTCCTTCATTTGATATATTGTTGATCATAATGGTGGGTTTTGTTTCATTAGGAATAATATGCCTAAGATTGAAACGGCAATGGTTGACATCACTTCCATTCTTCCTGGGGAGATTTTGGAGTCCATTACTTCAGCCAAACATCTCAATCTATGTCTATCAATTTCAAAGGTATTTCTTTGTTCACATCAGGTTCTTGTTTCTGTCGTTATACCGTATGCATTCTTGCTTTTCTTTTTCGATATTAGTTATTAAAAGGTGGCAGTGGAAACAATATGTCATCCACTCACGCATTCTTGCTCGTAATTGCTATAGTGTACTACTCATGGCGTCTCTTTTGCAGGATGTATACCCTGTTGGTAGTGTCTTACACCGTGTTGTACATTTAGCGTTGTGCACATGTGAAACAGAGTGGTTGAATCTACTTATCTGTCTGCTCAGAGATTTCCCGAATTTACGAGCACTCAAACTTGAACAGGTACAAATATATTTCAACTCAAATTATTCAGTTTCCTTGATCAACATTATATATGTTGATCTAATGCATAGCTGTCACGTCAATTTATATCAGTACCATTCCCTTCGGGATCATTGAGTAAGCCCTTGCTGGAGTGAACTGAGTTTTGTCCCTGAATGTGTGATATCAAATCTTGAAACTCTCGAATGGGTAGGATATGAAGGAACGCAAGAAGAGAAAGAAGTAGTAGCATTCATCTTAAGAAGCAGAAGCTGTTTAAAGAAGGTAACTACCTGTCGACTTATATTCGACTGACATATGGTTTGGTGTGTCAGTGTTTGATCTGATTCTTTAGATAGTTTGAAAGTGTTTCAGCTATTTGAATTTCATATGTTCTTATTAAGGAAGAAACATACAGAAGATTGTAAAACCACTGCAGCGTTAAGCATCTGATGGGTCTTTAATCTTTTTAGTTTTTATGTACACTCTTGGACTTGAATCTTCCAGTGATTGTTATGGTTGTGTTCGGTTTGGTCGATTTCTTGGTTTGAAATTATGTAATGTTATCGAGTTACTTGAAACTTGAGATGATCAAGGAGTACAACAATCTAGTGTCTTTCTCAACTTTGGGGTTTAGCCATTCCTTGTTTCTGTTCTGAATATGTCAAAAACCATCGACCCAATCATAAACCAAACGATTAACAACCATTACCGAATCATCTCATGATTCAAGATAAATTTAAGAGAAAAAAATAAATACAATCACAAGTTTCATAACCACAAAGCTCCAACCTTCTTAAAGATTATAACCAACTCACCGGAGATATGAGTGGCCATAACTCTATCCAACCCTCCAAACAACCTCCCTCCTATATATGAAGAACAAAACCGTGTGACGTCTTCAATTTCTTTTTTGAGCAAAAAAATTAATTTTCCATTGCCAGGCTTTGAACCCGGAAATAACAGCAATTAAGATGTAATTTTAACCAATGTGCTACAACGGAGCTTTTGTTAGGTCTTCAATTTTATTTGTATTTATACTCATATATGTACCTTTGTTTCCTAGGGTTTCGGTCAACAACAAACTCGTCTCTGATTCCTCAATCTTGTCTAATTGATTCAATGAAAGAGACGGAAGTGTCGTCGGAGCTAGTAACGCCGGGAGATGTACTCGGAGATGCGACTGAGGAGCTTAAAGCCGGAAGAGGAGCTTATGTCAATGACACCACCGTCTTCATTATATGTCTGAATCCTCCGAAAAATCAAGTTTTAGCCTTTGTGCTACAGCGGATCACTTGCTGGCATATGAATTATAGAGGTATTATATATTTTAGTTTGATTTGGTGAGAAAATAGCAAAACAGAATCAAGTGGTTGTATCCCAGTGGTA